AAAGCAAAACAGAAAAAAAATATTTACTTACTGTGCTGATTCACACTCTTTTGTCTCAATTTTATGTCATTAGGTATGGATTTTCGTCTTTCATTCTTCCTTTAGAAGATGCCATAATGTGAAATGTTTCAACTATTGTTTAAATGGTTTTCTGAATTGAAAGATTAACTGGTCCTTGTTAGCATCTCAGAGACTTGTTCAATTCTCAGGAGTCCTGCATAGATCATGAGATTAAAAAAACCTCAGAGACTGATTTTTTTAAAAAAAAAAACCATCTGCATGTTTGCTTTTCTTTTTTTAATAGACATAAAATGGTAATAATTATTTTTATGTATAGAATTCAGAAAATTTTTGTGCCTTTCTGAAATGTTTCTAGCAAATCATACCTTTAATATATATATGCACATAAAAGCCTATGAAAAAAGAAAAAAGATACATTATGCCTTTACAGGGAGGATAATTGGGAAGTGGGTGTGGCCCACTGAGGACGCCTTAAGAGGTAGAAATAGCTATCTGGGTCTCCCAGGAAGCAACACAGAGTTGCAGTTTGTCAGCAGAAAAAGGGCCCAAGAACTTGTGAATGAGATTTCACAGAACCTAGGGCTGAAGAACAACTAAGTTTACATAGGTAAAACCTGGCTAGAAAGAATATGCATATATATATATATAATCAATAGAGAGGATTTTTGGTTTGAAAAAGGGGTTAAAATAATCCATCTATTTTAGAATTGAACTCCCCTCCCTCAACAGAGGGCGAGAAAAAGACACCACATCAGTGGTGGGTTGTCCCTGGTAGTAAAACCAGCAGGAGGCTCCGTCCACTGACCCTGACATCATCAAAACACTTCTGCACATGCTCAGAAGCTTCTGCACTTACGCAGAAGAGCGTGCGTGCACATGAGCAAAGCAAGCGCATGTGCATGGCCCCACTGCAAATCGGTAGTAAAGGTAAGTAGAACCCACCGCTGCACTACATATCTCCAGTTTACTACACAACTCATGTAGCATTTCCAAGAAGATTCCACAATGAATTGCACTCAGCTTCAGGAAACCCTGAGGGCATAGATAAACCCCAAGTGACTTCAACAGCTCTCAGAGAATGCTAAATTCCAGATTATTGCAAAGAAATGCAATCCTTTCATTTCTCTCATCACCACCATCTTGTCAGTATCTATCCTTCCTCCCCCCCCACCGTCAGAACTGAGAAAGTTTCTTGAATGAGAAGTGAAATGTTTTCTTCTTCTTCTTCAAGAAAAAACAGTCCAATTGCCTTTTGAAGAAAATAATCATCTTTGAGACAACTATGACCGCCACAACTATGAATCTCCACAGATATTTATTACATACATCTTTGAGTATTTAATAGGAGGTATGATTTCATTGTTGTGAACAAAGAAAACTAAAGACAGTTCTGTAAAGATCCTAGATAAAATGTTAACAAAATGTTAATAAACCTATTTCTCTAGCTCTAGGATTTGATAAAAATATTATGACAAAGTAAGATCACTTTCAAAACCATTTAATAAAAGATCTATATGTTACATATGTAAACTATTAAATATTTTAAAACATCCACAAAGCTATATGAAATTCTTTTTTCCCCTCGTGCTATAAGTATAGGGATTCAGTACAGGAGGAATGATAATATATTCTGTGTCAAAGTTACCTGTTGTGGATATATTATTAAAGAGGGTTGTAAAGCATTGTGAAGTGGTATAGCAATATAACTGCTATTGCTATTAGATTGACTTGCATAAATAAAGATTTTAACAAACAACAATGAAGAAAGGAAGGCAAGTGGGTAAACTCTTTAAAGATCTTGCTCACCGCAAGGTATTTTGAGCAAAGCAGTAAAGATATTCATACTGTATAAGTTGCAACAATGAAGATGAAATATTCAAATATTATTGGAAAACTAATGACAAGGAGTAAAACTTGAACAAGGTAAAAATCCATGACAAAGAATTTAAGTAATGTTGCCATTTTACAGAACAATTGATTGACTTTATTGGAATTGAAATTCAGGAAGGAGGAGGAGGAGGAAGAGGAGGAGGAGGAGGAGGAGGAGGAGGAGGAGGAGGAGTTTCCCAATGGCCAACATATGAATGCAAAATCCTTTGTTCATAATTCCTTTCTGATGTAAAGTTTACAGATAGCAAAATGAAAATCATAAAAATTACTGCTAATAGGAACTATTTAGGTATTTCAGAGAAGAAGAAACCCTTGAGCAACAAACCAGACAAAGAATCTGGGTCTCTCATTAAAATAGCACCAGTGATCCTGAATTTATTACTAGTTTGGTTTTTCAAGTCCTATACCTCTTAAAATAAGAATTTCAAATACTATTGGAAGTGACTTTGAAAATTTTGTTGTTCCATATTATTAATCTGTAATGAAGGGCAGTTAAACTACTCAACTTGACAACAACAAAGAAGGAGACTTCTAAAAGACTTTTTTTATGGCTATTGTTTTTTTTAGAAACATTTCTTTCTTGATTTTTTTATTGTATGCCTTTTAAGAACTATCAAAAATATTTGAATGACTCTTTTATGTTCAACAATATCTGACTATGAACTGTATCCATTCAAAGAAATCTTAGACAGAGAAAAAGAAGCAAGGCTATCTTTCCTTGGTATATTGGTTTTGGAACAAAAACCAAGACCACTTTGGCTTTGTGCATTGAATATAGGCTTCTAAAACAATTGATCCTTGGAATACACATGAGTATATAAATGAGTGTGCTCTTCAATAGGTTATTTGTTCCCATCCTCCCAAATCTGTCCCCTGAAGCTCTTTTCAGCTTTCTCAAAAATGAATTTAAATGGCAGCCTTAAAAAATGTATTATGTAAATAATATCAACATCTGTCCTTATATTCCCCAAACTGCCTCTTCCTAGTATTGTGATATATAACAAATATATTTTTACCTTGATGAGGTAAATTAACTTTATATTTCTTTCTTTTACTTCTAACAATTTTAACCATTAGTGCATTCAATAAATGTTCTAGAACTTGATTTATGTTTATTTTTTTGTCCACTTTCAGGAGTTTCTTTAAAACTTTAATGTAGGAAAAATATCCAAGTCACTCTTTTGGTTTATTGTTTGTATTTTCATTTTCGTTATTACATCATCAGCCAATTTCTATTGTATGTGATGTCTTTTTTCCATTTCATTCTTATAGCCTACTATTTTTAATCCATTTCAATCCATTTATTCCATTCTTGTCTGATAAATCTTGTTCCTCTCCCATAACCTTTTGTAGACAGTCTTTCTCCAAAGAGGCAGAAGACTGTTGATACTATTAATGTTAATGTCTGAGTTCATTTTTTAAAAAAAAGTCTTTTAAAATATACTAGTGTCAGAATATTTTGTTCCATTCTCTAAATGTAAATTGAGTGTATGTGTTCTCCTTTAATTGTAACCTTTAGTTCCTTCTATTGTTCATTTTTTAAAAATCTCATTATTATTATTATTTTTTTAAAAAAATAAAACTAAATCATTTTTCTGTGGAAAAGATTCTTTAAAATTAATTCAAAAATCTTACTTCAACTTTATCTGTATCCTTTTGAAAATTTCTAAAATCAAAGTCTTGATAGCTGTTTATTAAAAAAAACAAAACGTTTTTTTAACCTCTTAAACTTGCAGTTGAAACTTTGCTTTGCTAAGTATTCAAGGGAAACTCACCCTATGCTGTCAAACTTTTCAGTCCAAAGTTGTCTAATAGCTGAAAGCAGCTAATAAGCAATTTTTGAAAGTGATTAGAAGAAACGTAGTGTCATTTCAAAGATATTGACTATGAGTTGAACAAGATAGATATTTCCTTGTCTCCCAGGGCTCTAAGTCTGCTTGTGGGTAGTTTGTGGGTAATCTCAAATTATCCACAGAGATTCAAAGAGCTACATACTAGCACTGATGATGTTACCTAGTCTGGGTAGTTAAACGGTTACCAGGAAACAACCAAGCTCAGAGAACATCAAGGATCCTTTATTTCAATCCTGAACTACAGATATTCTTTATTATTTCTTCTTCTGTAAATGCATTTATTTGGTTCCTTTTAAAAATTAATGACTCTCCTCCCTTCCCTGTAATTATAAATATTGAAACCTTTATGGTAACAGCTATAGTAACAGTCTTGTAAGTTTCAGTTTGTTTCCCTTCACTCCCTTTATCTTTAGGTAAACTAGTGAGGATCTTATCTGAGATGTTTTTTTGGCCTTGGCTTAAACATCTCTTATCTGACAGTTCCCTTTTCATTCTGTTCTTATCCAAGCCATTCCCTATGCTCTATTTTTATGGTTTCTACTTCAGAATCAAATATACTTTACACAAAGTATAAGTTTGTATATTATTTATTTAAACAAATAAACAGACACTTTTGTTCCACTTCTTTAATTAATAAAGAAAATTCTATTATCTTATTATGACTTGTAAAATATGATCATTTGAACCAATTAAATAACCAAAATTCATTTAGAACCAGTTTCTTTAGTTGACAAACAAAATTAGACTAGATTCAATTCTATCCCTTTAGTATAAATGACAATCTGTTTTAGAAAAAAGCAATAGATATGGGCTAACTTTACAATACATAAAGGGCAAGGTTGGAAGATGCAGTTTTCAAATGATAGACATTATATATCCATTTCTCTATATTTGTCAAGTCACTATTATAAACCATCACTGAATAACCATCTATTAAAGAAATCATTATACCAGCATTTTTGGAGAAACATTCTTCAAATTCTACAAAACAAATAAAATCAAAATTTCTAATATATATTGTATTTTCCATTTTAAACACAAGAAATAAAACTTGCTTGGAAGCTAAACATCTTGAGTCCAGAAGTCAAAATATCTAAAATAAGCTTTTTAATATAAAACAAAAAAGTGTGAAAAATATGTGAAAAAGAGTGTGAAAAGTATGTGATAAAAGTGTGTGAAAAGGGGGGTGGGAATTCCTATTAACCATAAAATTAATATACAATATTTGTAATTACATCATAAATGTCTTTTCACCAGAATTCTTAATAGAGCAACCTTAATATCCTTGTTTCTCATGCTATAGATTACCGGATTCAACATAGGTGGAAAAATGCAGTATATTATTGTAACAATGATATCAATGTTTGATGGTTGGTCAGACTGAGGCCTCAGGTAAGCAAGTGAGGCTGTAAATAAAAATAAAGAAAAAACTGTAAGGTGAGGGAAGCAAGTGGAGAAGGCCTTTTTTCTTCCCTGGTCAGAAGGGATTTTTGAAACAGCAGTAAAGATCTGTATATAAGTAACAATGATAAAAGCAAAACAACCAAATGTTAGTGTAAAAATAAATACTACAATTCCATTTTCAATTACATATAAATCTGAGCAGGCAAGTTTAAGTAAAGGTGGGATTTCACAGTAAAACTGATTAATAATATTAGAGCAAAAAGGAGTAATGAAAGTTCCCATTGTGTTTAATACAGCATTGAGAAAGCTGACAATCCAGACACTACTAACTATTTTGGTACAAACCTTCCTATTCATTATCATCTCATATCGTAAAGGATTGCAAATGGCAACATACCGATCATATGCCATGACAGTAAGAAGAGAAATATCAGAGTCTACAAAGAATACAAACAAAAACACTTGGGTCATACATTCAGGATAAGAAATACTATTTATGTTCATAACTGAATTGAAAACAGCTTTGGGGACAATGACTGAAACAGAACCAATGTCCTGAAAGGCTAAATTTGTCAGAAAGAAGTACATGGGGATGTGAAGACAGGAGTCCAAAACAACTGCAGAAATAATGAGTAAGTTTCCTGCTAATGTAATTAAATATATGAACAAAAGTATCATTGCATACAGAAGCTGTAGTTCCCATATGTTTGAAAATTCCAAGAGAAAAAACTCTGTAGTATCATTATCCATTTCTGACCACAGATATGAGAACCTAGAAGTAAAGGGAGAATTGTTAATATATTTCCTACACATTTCCATTTGGATTGATATTTTATATATATATATATGTATATATAATAAATTATATATATAATTAATAATTATGGATAAATTATATAATTGATTATGTAATGTATCAAATATCAGCATCATTTCTTATATTAGTCAGGCAACCCCATCTAGGGGCATGAATCTAGTATGTGAAACCATCATAGGAGGGGATGATAATAATGGTAACAACAGCAATATCCTTCTGCATTGTTCAGCACTCTTATAATATGACAATTTGCATTATATTAGTTACTATGTAAATGAGCATTATAATGGGTTGATTTTGGAGTTTGACAGATTCAGAGGTAGAATAGGTATTTGGACGAAAAAAAGGCAAAAGATGGGTGGATAAGAGCTCAGATTAAGAGCATGGGAGCAAGAAGGATGAAAAGAAGATGGTAAACAATGAACTTACTTCCCAATAAATTCCACTCAGCAGTATTTTTAATTTCAGTGTTTCTTGAAGAAATTAGCTGTTTTGTTCACTAAGCATTAGTATTCTTTTTAAAAAAAAAAAAAAGCTTGCTTGCTATTGTATACAGTTTTTTCTAATCAATGAGGAATTTAAAGGATTTCCTACGTATGAAACAAATTTCATCAAGTCTGCTTTGGATTCTCAGAGACTTCTTCCATTCCCCAGAGTCCATCACAGCTAATTAGAAATAGATCCTCATTTTATTTTGTTTGTTTTTACTGGATCTATACTTTGCTGTGAGAAGAAAGTGATAAGAAAGTTGGAACTAAATAACCTTGTTGATCTTTTTTCTTAACCTTAACTGATCACATATTATCAGTGAATTCTAAAAAATGAAAAACAGTGAAAAACAGGTTGGAGTAGAATTACTTTTATTATTAATTATGAGCAATCCCCCCCCCCCCCCCCCCCCCCCCCCCCCCCCCCCCGTCTCTCACACACACTTCTGATCAACGTAAAATATTTTGAAAGATCGGGTCATATATCAAGCCCTCATTCATGGTCATTTCAAATTAATATTATTTTTATATTGTAATCTAGAACATAGAATCCAGAGCTATCTATAGTGATCTTTCATTTCAGGTATTTAGAATAGAAGTGTATTATGGTTAATTGAAGCAGCTATTTATCTGAAGTGTCAATTCTGGCACTAATGTGGATTGTGAAAAAATAAGTGGATTCTCTCACAAAAGGAAAACCATGGAAACATAATGAAGGTTATGAGGCAATACAGGAACAGAATAATATTGAATGTCTTGTTTTTTAATGGAATGTTTTACTTTATATGAACTTGGGACAGGAAGTCCAAAGAAATGTGAAATATTTAAGCTAGTTGTAAACAAGTACAATTGTAACGTTAAGCATTACTTCCCCAATGATTCCCTGCCTTTATAAACCTTGTACAGGTACTTCCAACAGTTCATTTCGTGACCATTTGAATTTACAATGGCACTGAAAAAAGTGACTTATGACCATTTTTCATACTTATGACTGTTGCAGCATCCCCGTTACATTCAGGTGCTTGACAACTAACTCACATTTATGACAGTTGCAGTGTCCTGGAGTCATTTGATTCCTTCTTGCAACCTTCTGACAAGCAGTCAATGGAGAAACCAGATTCACCTAACAACCATGTTACTAATTTAAGAATTGCAGTAACAAATGTAGTGAGAAAAGTTGTAAACTGGGGCAAAACTCTCTTAACAAATTTCTCAGCAACATACAATTTGGGCTCAATTGTGGTCATAAATTGACAACTATCTATATAGCTTGCTATAAAGGATGTTGCTTCATCCTTGTTCTGATCTTAAACAAATAAGTCATATCAAAAAAAAAAAAAGGAATTAAAGACTGTTATGACCTTAATGGATTGCCCATTACAGTTGTAAATCATAACAACCATTATGTCACTAAACATTGCAACCTTTTTTACAGTGATATTTAAGCAAGCCGATGTCTTATTATGGGTGCAGTTTTGCCAAAAATTGGAAGAAAGTGCCAGTTTTGGGAAAAAATGTCCAAAACATGGGGCTCCCCTTGAGGAGCACCTGGAGGCTCCAACTGGTCCAGAATGCAGCCGCGCGGGTGATTATGGGAGTGACGTGGCACTCCCATGTAACACCTCTCCTGCGCGAGCTGCACTGGCTCCCGGTGGTCTTCCGGGTGCACTTTAAGATGTTGGTTCTCATCTTTAAAGTGCTCCATGGCTTAGGGCCAGGGTACTTACGAGACCACCTGCTGCTACCGATAATCTCCCACGGGCCAATACGCTCTCACAGAGAGGGCCTCCTCGGGGTGCCGTTAGTCAAGCAATGTTGGCTGGCCCCCAGGGGGAGAGCCTTCTCTGTGGGGGCACCTGCCCTGTGGAATGAGCTACCTCCTGGAATACGACTGATCCCGGACCTCCGGACCTTCCGTAAGGCCCTGAAGACTTATTTGTTCCAGCAAGCCGGCCTAGCCTAAAGGGTTTTTAATGGGATTTTTAAAATTTTATAGACTTGGGGTTTTAAAATGGGAGGCCGATTGATTTAATCTTTTTAATTATCTTAACTTTTGTATTGTATGTATTTTAATTTTGGCTGTTCACCACCCTGAGTCCCCTTGGGAGAAGGGCGGTATACAAATTAAATTAATAAATTAATAAATAAAACATGGCCAATTGTCCAAAACATGGTCACATGATTGCTGAATGTTGTAAATGTCCATTTAGGCAACTGTGTTTCGAATGCCCAAAGTACAGACATGTGATCACAGGGGGTGACCATCAGAACATTGGTTCCAGATCATATTTCCCCTTTCTTGGCTCTGATCATAGGTTTATATGCATGGGATTTGCTCAAAAATAGATAGCCATTCATCACAAAATTTTGAGGCTGCCACCTTTGCACTACTCAGGTGACACTGAAGACACAGATAAACCTCCAAGTAGCCTCAACAACTCTTGCACACATAGAAAAGCACACCCTGGGTGAGATCCATTCCTTTGAGAATGGAAATGTACATGAAATTGACTTTAGAGAAGCAAATAATTCACTGAATAGCTATAACACAAATGTTTAGATCAGTGTTTGTTGTTAAGATGTCTCGAGTTCAACTGCCAGAATTCCCCAGCCAGTCACAAACACTGATTTAGATAATCACATTGACAAGGCAGATCTTCTGCAATTTAAAGAAATAATGGAAGCATAATCCCTAAAATCCCTAAAAGCCTTACAAAACAAATTTATGCAATTGAAAAATACCTTTTCTATCTGCTAAATAAAAAAGAAAAAATGACTGTCTCCTACTTTGATGATCACTAATGTTTCATTAGAATTGTGTGTTATGTTGTAAAAATGATGATTTAAATATTTTTTTAAAAGTGTTATTAATTAAAAATAAATCTAATTCATTAAAAAATAACAGCAACTTTAAAAAAAGATGTATAGATGTGACATCTGAGATACAGAATTAGGGAAGATCCAAATTTTCTACCTCAGTTCTAGGTGGTGGTGCATTAAATTTGCTTTTAATTCAGGGAATCCGAAGAAGAAAAAAGTATATAAAAATTGGGCATATGCCTAGAATTTTATAGAAAATAAATAAAATTCTAGAATTTGTTCCAATTGCTTTGGAATTCATTAGTCATAACATGCTTGTGTCTAAGTGTATTCTGAATAATGTCATGTGAATTGTGTACATTTTGCTTTTATTTATGTGTCTCTAACAAAATGAAATAGAGCTGTCAAGAACATATCATGCTGCTATTCAACTGTGTCATTCCAGGGATACATTGGGAAAATTGGAAGGAATATTTCAGTTTATTGTTCTAATCTATTATTGAGAATTTCCCCTCAATATCAGTTATAATTCTTTTTTGAACAGTTTTTGAAAATCATCCTATTAAAGATAGACATATTTGTACATGCAATAACCAGACTTCTTTTGAATTTAAAGACCACCATCTCCTTCTCAAAGCACATATTCAGGTAAATATGTATGGTTAAAAATGTAAGAAAAGCAGTTTTCTGTTTTATTTCTCTACTTGTTTATTTAACAAGAGGAAAAAACTATAGGGCCTGGTTATTTAAAGTACTGTTTTTCTCCAATAGCTTCTGCCCATTTAGTAAGATCCAGAAGAATGAGAGAATTTAATATCCCTTCATTTAAACTACACCATCTATTGGACCCTGGAAGTATGCTTTATTTCTTGTGGTAACTTCCCCATGTAACATCATCTTTCCAGAATTCATATGGTTCTATCTCAAAGACCTTCCAAAAACATTAAAAACTTGGTTATTTTCCCAGTCCTATTGATAAGAGTGTTTGGTGAGCTCCTGTAAGATTTTGTGCTGTTTTTGTTGTTTTTTTCCCCTTTCTAGATGCACATCGTGTGTTGTTTTATTTTATTATTCTGAGGTTTTTAAAATATAAAGTACCAAGGGACATTAGAAGAGGAAGGAAGGAAGGAAGGAAGGAAGGAAGGAAGGAAGGAAGGAAGGGTTTATTCTTTGATTGATACTGTATATCCCCAAAGTTTTCATTTGAAATGGAAATTCTTTTGCAAAATTTTGCATCTTTACATTTTCTGTGTAGAAATACACAGCTGACATTAAACTTTTTTCAAATTCAATGAACATACATGCAAACAACATATAGAGAATATTTATTAGAATATAACTATACAGGAGCTAGACATTGAAAATTTAGTATAATACATTTTATTATTTACACACAAAGAGATAAACCCACACACAAGGTTTGGTAGAATAAAGCAAGGAAATCATTCTGATAAAGCACGTAAATAATTTTTCAAAACAATTAAGAACAAATCAGCAAGTTGTATTTGAAACTACCAAGGTTTGTATAAATTTCACAAGGCATTTTGAAACTCTTTATTTCTCATGCTGTAAATAAATGGATTCAGGACAGGAGGAAAAAATGCATATATCACCACAAAAATTAA